TTGTTCGAAGCGATTCGATGATGGGAGTCGCTCTATAATTTTTTTATTGTTCGAGTTTAAGTCAGTTAGACGATGTTGGCGCTGGGAAACTAAGAGAAATACTCGCGTTGCATTCAAACCGACACGCCGTTCACGGTAGGTTCACACTAAAAGATGACTGTGAGCGTCAGGTTTGGAACGCCGTGGCCGCTTCGTGAACTCAAAGAGAGAATGATCGATCGATGTAGTACATGAGCAATTAAGAAGCACAATTTATGAGCAAGGTATTTCACCAGTTGACGACGCTATGGCTGAAGACTTGATTGTAAGCCTTCATAGTCAGTGAAGCGAACAACTCAGTTGCCGATGAATGGCACTACGCACGTCCATGAGCGAGGGACGTGACAACTTTGCCATGTTAGAAGACTGGCTTTTCCTTTAAATATTTCCTTCTATTTAATGCAACACACGCCACTTTGGAGGTCTAAATCTCGGATACTGAGGATAAAGAAGACACGGACATAAATAGGGACTCTGAGAATTTCGCACACAAGTTTAAAGCTTCACCGGGACATCCCATCCGGGAGCTTCACAGAGAGCGACTTGAGGAAAATAGGAGCTATTACTGACAAGGTTTGGTGACTGAGTAAAGCATACAAGTGTAGCCCACGTCGAAGTTTCAGGGGGTTTGCTTTTCTTTGTATTTGTATCTTGCTAAGCTTTTATCATTAAATTTGTACATGATCTTGTGATCACAATTCTGTGTTTTCGCCCATTTAGCAAGCACGCTATATTGATGTCAGCATTAGCGAGTTTCAGAAACATGCCTTTGAAAGTTTTCAGCTCTCGTGATGTTTCTTGATATTTCTTTTACCATTTTATGGAGATGTAAACTGAAGTCACCGCAAAATGGAAAGTTAAAAAAGCGTATAATCCACTTATCTCAAAACATAACACACATGACTTATACGACCTTTATTTTCGTAAAGGTGTTCTGAATACGAACACAGTCAATGTGAGGGGCAAAAACAGCATTGATATAAATGAACCATAGGGTTTTAACTAATATAAGGGTCAATTATTGTGCATTAAGATGAATCGCTTGAAAAGAGAGACTTCGCTTGAAGATGTCATCAGAAGTAATGCACCTATCAATGTAAACCCCGTGGGGGGGGAGTGCGGGCAAGGGGGTGGGGATTTGACAAATTTTAAAATTTTTCGATCAAATTCCCCAGGGTGGGAAACGAAAGGTCAATCAAAAGTGTCAAAAAAGCCCCCACCCTAGGGGAAAAAATCTAAACAAACAATGCTATATTACTATATAAAACGAATAAAAGAACATTTCAAACACGTTGTTACTACTTTTATTTACGGTTAACGGAAGCTCCATTAGATTACTCGCTGTAATTAAGTATTTTCTCCCTCCACTAGCATCTCTTATCTTGAACAACAAAATCACTTCAGGAAGATTGACCGTGCTGTGTAATATTAATAAAACGTAAACTGCTTTATAACCTCTGCTCAACATGTCGGAACAGGTCGGATCACTGACCCATAAAAAATCCTCTGACTTTCATGGTGGAATTCGATTTCAATCGAGTTTTACAATCAGATGGGAACTTGAAGATAAAAACTTCCTCAAAATAGACATTATCTGTTTAGATGACAGTTTAAAGTATCGGATTATGACGATTAAGACAAATGAAAACCTCATACCTTTCTCCAACTACGTGACTTTCAGGAAGCCTCGAGCGGGGACGGACTTGGTAACTGCTACTGAATTGATACCAGGCTTCTGTCGGTCAAAGTCAAATGTCCCGACCCCGGGGTCGCTTCGCACGATCAAAAGCCCGACAGCGGGGATAGTCCCAGGCATCAAATCCCCTCCCCTTGCCCGGACCCCCAACGGGATTTACATTGATAGGTGCATAAACAAAGGCATAATAGTGCGTCACGTTCAGTCTTTTTAATATCCAAGGAGTCACTGTGAATAGTGTTTCCATATTGTTTAGCTGGCACAAAAACTTCGGACGAGTTATAAAGCGGCATAGTTATCTTCCATGAAGAAAAGTTCGTCTTGGGTGAGACAAACAGAACTGGAGCAAATTTTTAACTCGCATCGGTATCAGGTAAAAAATATGTTATCGATCGTTTCATCTATTTACATTGTTTGAAGTGCGTGCTGGTGAAAACAACATGCGAGCGAGAAATCTTTAAACTTTTTTAGGTCTCAAAATGCAAAGGATTTTTTTCCTTTAAGTTAGAGAAAACTACCATGAGGAAAATCTTAAACTGAATATTTTTCATCTTGTGGAAAAAATAGTGCGTTTTCTTGTAGACTGTGGACCGCAAATTAGGATCGCACTTTTCACAAACATGCGAATTCTGAAGTTCAGAAGCCAACCGACGATTGCGTTTTTCGCTGATGTCAATCATCTTAACGGACCTCTTAGGAAACAAAACTTTACTTCACGGGTTCAAAAGGTCATGGTTTGTGATTTGTGGATTTCGATCCGTTTTGTGTGTTTCTCTGTTTCAAGGTTCGTTGCTTGTGATCGTAATTATGATTGAAGGTAGCGATAAAACACAGTTGTGAAGGTGGCTTTTGAACTTTAGAGTTCGCATGTTTGTGAAAAGCGCAGTGAAGTCTCCGTGCAGTCAGTGAGGCCCCTGGATCAGGCGGGATCAATGGGCAGTTAACTGTCTCTTTTAGTATACTTCAGGTTTTCATACAATACAATATTTCTGTCTAGTGTAAATCAGCTCAGTCCGTCGCATTTTATGCTCGTAGAACGACAACAATTTTTGGAATTTCCAGTTACGTCAAATTAGTCACGTTATACTGTCACGCTATATTTTGGGGCACAGAGGGATTGGGGGAGGGGTGCGTGGAAATAATGCAAATTGTTTCCTACTTAGAATTAATGGCTAACTTGTTTATTTTTGTTCATAATGGTGGAATTTAAAAGTTATTATACAGCCCCTTCTTAAAAATGGTACTCTTTTTTTTTTGGTCACGAAAGTCTTTCAAAAGGGCACAATGTTCTAAATGAGTTTATGTTCAGTCTCACATGAGGTTCTGTCGCATGCAATGGTTGCCGACAAGGTTTTATGGTAGCCTGAGTGTGTATAGCCGCCCCTCCCTTCAGAAAAAATAGCCTCTTTGCAGCCCAGTTAAAAATCGCCTTTCGGCGATTCTTGTTATACCAACCGATCAACTTATTACAACATCACAAAACAAATGGAAAGAAGGCTGAATAAAATCAGCTTAACAGCAAAAACAAATCTGGATAAATTCAGTTTTAAAGTTCATACGTTAAACTACATAACTCAAAATTAAATGTCAGTCAAGCAAGTGAATTTAGGAAATTTACAAAGAAGCCGTATAAAAGAATTCGAGTTTCCTTTGCTCGGGATTCCCTAAAATGTCAAAACTAAGACGGTTGGTATTTGAACAGGCGAAAGATCCAATTATTCAGTGACTAAGTTGTATAATTATCCAGATTGTCCTTTTAAAAGTAAACATTGAAGTAAAATGTGTATAATGAATGTGTAATACATTAATGTATGTGTATAAGGGAACTAAAACAACTCAATACAAATTCAATGTAAATTATGGCTAACACAACTTCAATGCTAGATATGAAATTCGAATCAAATAAAGAATCCATGGGAAATCTCTCCTTACACAATGCAAGGTGAAAATGAGCGGCAGTGAAACTAAAAGTGAACGGGAACACGTGTAACTAAGGGCCTGTTTACATGGAGTGGGGGATTTCACGCTCTAGGGGACACAAAACAAAAGAAACCTACCCCACTAGACCGGGGTCCCCCACTCCATGTAAACAGGGTCTAAGAAGTTTCTGGAAGTTGCACGTTGTAGTCGTGCAAAACAACGGCGGAGAAATGTACAAAACAAAGTGTGCTGCACGTGCAAAGTTGCTTTTGCTAATTAGACCTATTGTTGTTCTTCATCGTTTTCCGGCGTTGCATGCCTTCGCCGCTTAGCATTACACGACTTTAAATTTTGTTTGAACAAACTATAAATATTATCAAGAGTTTCGCTTTTACCCCTGGCTAAATCTATATATTACTTAATATGAAAACGCACAAGCAATTACCTATCCTTTTCTCAGCATTCGAGTTTGAATTCACGTTCTATCTATACTATGAAAACGCACGGTCGTTTCGTACCCATAAATTTCGGTCTATTCCTACTCAGTTTTACAAGATTCGCACTCATAACTTAAAAAATACGCAAGAAATAGCCTGAAACGCTTGATTTTATAAGGCAATGAAGCGAACAAACGAATCGCAATGAACAACGTATATCATAAATTTCTTACGCACACATTAAAATATGAACTCTTTAACAGCTGTATCAGTGTACTTAGTGTATAACACAGAGATGTATTCAAAGTTTTTCTTCTATTAGAACGCCTTAAGCAGCAATGAAAGACGAGGAACCATGATGGCGGTCTCAAAGTGTCATTGTTTGACATTTTTAGATGCTAAAATCTCATTAATTCCCAGTACCAACATGGTGCAGTATATGTATAGTAGATCCAACGTAATTGGTCTATCATCACACAAAGACATAAATGCTCAGACCACTGACATAGAAACGAAAAGCGCTATTTTGGGATGATAAAATAAACTCAAAATACGAAACTCGCACTTGCCCTCGGTTTCCTACTCGTAGTCAAATTCAAAGATTGCTATTTTTTTCAAAATCGCTGTTACCATATTATTAGGCATTCATTCTTAGCATCAAAACGTCTTTAAGTTACCTATGTGCGCGCCAAAACCATCTGAGTATCTCGCCATCATGACTGCTAATGAAGTTCAGGAATTTTGCTTTTCTCCACGGCTTTACAAAAATCATTTAATTACATTCAAATCCTTTTTAATAACTTTGAAAAGGAAAGAAGCAGCACCAGAGTCATCAATACTACCAGGATTATATACAATTTACTCCTTGCCACTGTAGTTAAGAAAAGGTTGACTGCAAGACGCCTGGAAACGGAACCAGAAACAGAAAAACCAATCAGGTTGCAATCCAAATCCAGATCAGTCAGTGAAGATGAGAAGTTGGCTTGAAGAGCTTTGGCAAGAGAAGTGGCACCAGAATCACTTATCCTGTTTGAGTGCAAATTCAAATAAGTTAACGAAGAGTTGACTGCAACAGCGTTGGAGAGTAAGGCTGCACCATAATCCCCAATGGCGTTCGATTGCAAATCTAAAGAAGTTAAGGAGGAGTTGGCCTTCAAACACTGAGAAAGAAAACCAGCACCGAAAGCACCAATCCTGTTACACCTCAAATTTAAAGAGGCCAAGGAGAAGTTGGCCACGAGGTATTCGGAAAGTGAAGCAGCACCATAATCACAAATATTGTTGGAACTCAAATCCAAATGAGTTAATGAGGAGTTGGTTGCGAGAGCCTGTGAAATTGAAGTAGCACCAGAAGCACCAATTTCGTTACAACTCAAATCCAAATGAGTTAATGAGGAGTTGGTTGCGAGAGCCTGTGAAAGAGAAGTAGCACCAGAAGCACCGATGTCGTTAGAACTCAAATTCAAATTAGTTAAGGAAGAGTTAGCTTTGAGAGCTTGGGAAAGAGAAGCCACGCCAGTACTTCCAATTAGGTTGTAACTCAAATCCAAGAACGTTAAGGAGGAATTGGCTTCCAGAGCCCTCGAAAGAACCACAGCACCAGAAGTTCTAAAGGAGTTCCAACGCAAATCCAAAATAGCTAAGGAGGAATTGCCTTCAAGAGCCTCCGCAAGAGAAGCAGCACCAGAGGCATCAATGCCGTTCTCGTTCAAATTCAAATCAGTTAAGGAGGAATTGTCCTTAAGGACTTGGGAAATAAAAGCAGCACCAGAATTTCCAATCCCAGTCGATTCCAAATTCAAATTAGTTAAAGAGGCGTTGACTGCAAGTGCCATGGAAAAACAAGCGACAGTATAAGAATCCTTTAATTCCTTGCCACGAAAATCCAAATGAGTTAAATCGAGGTGCTTCCCCAAAACACGGGCTAACCTTGAGCTCTCCGATAAACATTTTGACGCAAATAAGACTTCATCAGCCTGACAGCTTGCTGAATTGATATTTCTGGCCATACTTTCTACCAAACGCTCCGCGTCATCCTCACTCATTGAGGCTAAAATCCCAGTCATAAACGAAAAGGTTTCATCTAGTTGAATCTTGTACCTTTGATCAGTCACAACTGAGTCACAGTCAATATCTGTGTCAATAATTTGCCAAGCAAGATGTAATCCAGAAAAAAAGTCTTGAAAGCTCTTATGAAGAAATGCGAAGCGCACTTGAGCATTTGTCATACTTGCCTCAGTCTGAAGAGAAAGAAATCCAAACTTAGATAAGACAATGAAGTCACTATCAGATTCAAGCACTTCGATATACGACTCTCCCTTTTGAAGAGATTGAAACGCCATTGCTCCTAACTGCGATAAATCGGCCTTATAAAAGATTATCAGGTCATCACGCGTGCTCGATATGCCACGTTTCGTGTCATATAGTCTTAAAACACAACGGACGATGTCAATGTACAATTGAGTTCTGCTCTTTGGAAAAACGCCTTCATAATCCTCACAAAGAACACAGAGTAAAGTGGTGTTTAATGGACTGTTTGTCAAAGCGCACAGGTCTGTAGATTTTGACTCGAGGTTAGATGGCCATATCGTTTCTATAAGCTTCTCAGCTAAATGTTCCTTGTTGATGTTTTCGAAGTACTTACGGATATATCCGATGGCATCTTCCTTCGCAAATCCTTTAATTTCAAACAGCGAGTCACAATACATCCTAAATTCCCCTCCAGCATCGTGACGAGAAAAAAGAACAAGGTAAAAACCTGGAAGGTCTTTACTTTTAAGGAGGTTTAAAATCATTTCGAGGTTCCTTGGATTCGCTTCGTCTAATCCATCAAGTACTAACAGAACCTTGGTCTGATTTTCACGAATAAATCTGAAGAAACATTCCTTAGTTCGATCGTCGACATACGAAGAGAGAATTTGATTACGAATAGCTTCCCAGATGTCATATTTCATTTCATGACATCTCAGAAGTAGTAGAACTTCAATCTCTGGAAAAGACGGGTCCCATTCCTCCTGTTTAGTTGCCCAATCATACGCGATCTTTTGACAGAACGTGGATTTTCCTATCCCAGGATCTCCTTCAATCAGTACCGTTCGAGGCCTTTGGCATTTCGGGTGCTCTTTAAAGATAGCCGTTATATCGCTTATACCATCCGCAGAAGGTACCCCTCGGGTTTTATCTTTCCTCACGATCTTAAATTTTGTAAAAATATCATTTAGATGAAAACTAAATCCTTTGCGCCAAGGAATGGGCAGAAGGCGCTGTTGACACGTTATGTAGAGCTGACGGATCCTCTCTATTGTCTCAGTCTCAGCTGGGCTTGGTGAATCTAAAAAAAATGTAAAATAAGACAAAGTGTATTTAATTTGCCTGTTTTTTTCTTTAAATAACTGATTAAAGAAACGTTACATCGGGGGGGGGGGGGGCGGTGGGTAACTCTATTGTTTTGCACCTAAGTTTCTTGACCCACTCCGCCTGCCAGTATGACGTCACATAGTAACGGGCAAGAGCCTCGGGTCGCTTCTGCAAATTAGCAAGGGATGCTACAGTTATTTGGACGAGCGAGGTCGAGGAAAAGCTAAGAAGCTACAACCAGTTGCAAAACTGTTGAGAAACTCCCAAATCTCTCCTGGTCACAGGTCTGTGAGATATAATATTGACCTCCCAACTCCCTCGCATTCAAAGTTGTTCCTCCAAGTTTTGAGCATGGTCTTATATTGCCATCAACTTTGATAAGGGGTGGAGGGGGATCACAAGCACAAGATCATGGACAGGCCATTTATGCCAAAATACGGTACAGTGTCTCAAGTACTTTTGCAACTGGTTGTAGCAAATATCGCTATATATCACTTATTTGATCGAATGTGTGTGAGCTTTGGTGTTGCTATAATCTGCTTGTGTAAACCGTTTTGATATTTTGTGTCCGTGATTGTATAATTAGTCGAGCTTGCTTTAGCAGAGCGAGACTAAAAATGCAGTCGTTTCTTTTTTTTTGTCGGTGGGACCTAGTTTCTAGGCCACGCGTTCCTAGCCTAGACCGTGGAAACTGGGGATAAGAATCGTGGCGACTTTCACTGTATGCAAATGACTCTCGTGATGAGCATGCGGTATATTTTCGGCGATGACTGAAATGACGTATGTAAGTTTGGCAATGATGTAATTTTCCTCGAATGGAGGCCCTTGATTTTCGTGTAATTATGCACGACATGCAGGCACTTTAAAAAGGAACAAGAACGCTCTTAGTAGCGTTGAGTCTCGCTAGCTTGGAGATACGTTTTGTAGTCAAGGGCGCCGGTGCTGTTAAACGACTTTTTCGTTTGGAATACAAAACGAGTGTTATATGTCATAATGTAAATAGCCAAAACGTAAAAACTGCAAGGAGAGACAGGCCGCACAACTTAGCCTCAAACCGGTGTGAAACCTTTGAAAACCTTCTACATACACAAGTAACCGAGGCTCTGTGATAGTACCACAGTACGGTTCCAGTAAAATTACAGTGTTTGTATGGCGGTAAAAATACGATCCTAAAATTTCTACTAAATACTAAATATAAGTCAATGAAACTTACCCTGCAGTTAGTTGTTGTTGTCCTTATTGCTCCAACGAAGGTTCGTGATAATTTGTTCAAATTCACTCTATATACAATTATGATATACAAGGTAGGAGACACGAGATGCCATCTTGGCCGCCATGCTCTCATTCAACACAACGTTTTCTACAAAACTCGAACTCCAACAGAAAATAAACATGCCAGGATTGTAGTAAGAGGATAGCAGCAGATGTAGAAACCAATGAAGCTTTCCCAGACAGAAAAACGAATCCCGCAGACTTTGACAAACTCGAAGGATGTAATCCAAAAAGGCCGAGAATATGCTCGCCGAAGTAGCCGGGCCAGATCAACGCGCGGCCATGAAAATGAGGCCTGGGCACTGTACAATTAATTTGATTGTGTATTTTAAAAAGCGTGATGCACGTGCTTTTTTTTTCATTTTCACGCGTGCACTGGAACATGTAGTTTGCTTGGGCGAGTCGCGTTTGTCTCAACTGAACAATAGCCCTCGAGCAAATGTATTTCCAGCAGGGGTGGCTAACTTTGGTAAAGCTATGTATCGGTCCCTAGAAAGATCAACCCAGGACACCCGGGATGGATCTTTTTTGTACAGTGCCCAGGCCTCATTTTCTTGGCCGCACTTTGATCTGGCCCGGTTACTTCGGCGAGCATATTCTCGGCCGTTTTGGATTACATCCTTCGAGTTTGTCAAAGTCTGCGGGATTCGTTTTTCTATCTGGGAAAGCTTCATTGGTTTCTATATTTGCTGCTATCCTATTACTACGATCCTGGCATGTTTATTTTCTGTTGGAGTTCGAATTTCGTAGAAAAAGTTGTGTTGAATGAGAGCATGGCGGCGAGGATGGCATCTCGTGTCTCCTACCTTATATATTATAATTGTATATAGAGTGAATCTGAACAAATTATCACGAAACGTCGTTGGAGCATTAAGGACAACAACAACTAATTGCAGAGTAAGTTTCATTGATCTTTATTTAGTATTTCCTAGAAATTTTAGGATCCTATTTTTACCCCATACAAACACTGTAATTTTACTGGAATCGTACTGTGGTACTATCACAGAGCGTGGGTCACCTGTGCTACATATTGATATTGCTCCATTGAGGAGTACTCTTTCAGGGATTTTACACTCGAAAAATTGAACGATGATTTTACCGGTATCAGGGGCCCATGACTCTGTCAGTATAAATATACATAGCTTCTTTGTACCGGACCAAAGTACGGCTCGGTAAAGTATATGTTCAGCACAGGGAAAAAGTGTGAGTTTAACAGAACCTTATACAACACACAGTTAATTCAGCTCGCGCGTATTCCTGCTGAATTTGTTGGCCGCTTTATAAGATACCAATACCATCTGAAAGTAATTACATTTTCCATAGCTGCTTGGTATCTACTTTTAATATCTCCGCACAGTCTCAGAGTACAATGTTTAGAGTTGTACACAGCATGCATTCTTGTTAGATAGATAGATAAGAACTTTATTAGTGACCACGATAAAAAGATCAACATTGCTGGTGGGGTCGTACATACAACACTTACAAGAAAAATAAGGAGTACTGAAAGCAAATGTACGATTAAAAATTTAAAACTATTAAAGTTTTTTCTTTTATTACAGTATCACTGGGATAAAGCGTTTCAATTTCCAAGAAAATTTCACTTTCTCGTCAAAACAATCACTGACTCAGTCAGACTCGGATTAGTTTACTTGAATTTAGTGTTCAGCACAGCGAACGGGGTTATGTTCTGTGAAATTTATCTACAGTCTGCAGCCCACATCACCACTGATCCACCATTTATTTATTCATTTTATTTTCAAGTTCTTTTTAACCGATCCTCGAACCCTAATTCCTCGATCCTCATTTTCCAGTAAACCTTGACGTTTTGCTGAGTAAGATTATTCTTTTTTTTCCCGCTACTGAAGTGATCAGTTGTTCCAAAATAATCAACAGTTTCAAGCGAGAGAATTCTTGGAGCAACCCGTTTCGGAAAAGCTCGATGTGGGGATTTCTATTCTATGGACATGAAGTGCTGCAAGTAGAGTGTGCGGATAGTCAAGTTCAAAGCTACCCGTATAAACACATCCGTGACACATACGTGTGGTATGTGTATTTTTATGTGTATTATGTATTTTGTGGTGTTTTAAGGCGTTACGTTTCTCAGAATATTGTCGCAATTACTGGAAAACTACGGTTAAATTCATTCACTTTGTTTCATGTATTTAATTGATTGATTTTCGCAGTTGTTAAGATGTGAAGTCGTGTTGCACTTTATAAATACTTGAGCTATCAAGTATCCACTCTAACGTGATTTTTACGTGCGTACGTGCGTAAAATTTGCGTTCGCAAACAAAATAGAAGCAATGTATGAAAGGCCGCACGTACAATTATGTAAGCGTAAAAGTAGAAACTCGCTCAAATAGATGTTTAATCTCAACACTTTGTATCTTACCTCTATTTTATTCACGTGATTAAAATTTACGTGCGTTAACGCGCGGAGCCAAAAACGCGTCAGTAGAAATCCACCCTAACGTTACGTATGTGTCACGGATGTGTTTACACGGGTAGCTTTGAACTTGACTATCTGCGCACTCTACTTGCATCACTTCATGTCCATAGAATAGAAATCTACCTACCTACCTATCCATCCACCCACAAAATAAAAAAAAAATTATAACCAACAACAAGAGAAAAAAGAGGAAAAAACAAGAGAAAAACAACAAGAGGAAGGGAAAATGAACGGAAAATGTATCTTAAACTCGTAACATGTTGGATTGTACACGTACAATGTAGCATTAAACATTAAGGCCCCGTCCACACATCTGGATATTTCTGAAACTGAATATTTTCTTTATCACAAAACGGCCTTCCCTAAACACTAAACCAGTGAATCCGCTCAGTCATCCGTGGCCTATTCATGTAAAAAAAAATGTGGTTTCAAAAAATATTTGGATTCGTGTGGACTGGAGCCATAAATTGGTACCTGAAGGACTTTGTAACTGTTCCTTTGATCTGCTGGCTGAGCTCTGCTCTGATATATCTTCAACAAAAAGAGATCTGTTACTTACATTCAAGAAATCTACTAGAAATAACTGCTACTTATAACCTCACTAGAAGTGCATATCAAGACTAGTGTAGTTTTAACACTTAGGGTGCGTTTGATTGGAAAATACGGATTTAGATTTTGACTTTTTGATTTGGATTTTGATTTCATGGGTTTCCTTTTTAGCGGGGCTCCCTCGCGCGCGAAGCGCGCATGGGACAGAGCCCCATACTCATAGAATATGGTCAACCAACTGTTTGGTCAACCTCTTTTCGTTTGGTTGTCACGTGACTGACCGAGCGTGCGTTCGTACGCGTCTACAGACTGTACGGGTAGGGTAGGGGAGACTATAAAAGGGAAGGGAGGGGTGTCTCAGGCGTGTCTTGGCAAATCCATTATATTGGCCATTCACAATATGGTCAATTGACTGCTGTCAAAACAGGATAGCCACTGAGCAGTATCACATTGCCATATCGAGGGCTCATGTGTCAACTCTTCAAGGTGACGTGATTTATTTGGAAGCTGTCCGCTGACCAGTTGTTTTACTAGACAGCGATCAATGTTCAATCTCAAACTTTCTAGCTAGTTTGAGAGCACAGGAAAACTGATAATGCACACATCCATTGGACATCAATGTTGTGATCAATTGACAGCTGTCCGCTGAACAGTATCACTTGACCGTATCGCGGGCTCAGGTGTTGACCTATCGAGGTCAAGTATTTTTTGAAG